TGGTAGAAACAACAGTGAAAAGCTGTTACAAGAAATACAATATCATCACCTTGAATCAGTGGTACACTAGAAATGTTTTCCAGCATGCTCTGCTGAAATCAGCTTCAGTTAAGTCTTTAAGAAAAAAGTCCGAAAATAGAAGGTGGATTAAAAGCCCGTCATTGATGACAGCATGCTTGACAGATATCATAACTTAGCAACAGACTAATAAAGACATATGAGAATTTTTAATTGCAAAAAAATACACTTTCATGCCGTTCCCAATGTCTGTACATTTTTTGCAGCTACATCTGGGTTTGCTCTACAAAGAAACCACAAAATTCTTTCAATGAGCTAGGCTCAGTGTTTGTGACAGTTGCACTTACTGCAGCAGATGTGTTCATCCTCTTTCAATGGAGGAATATAAAAATGTATGAATATATGGAGAAAAATGTATATGAAGGATGCAGTGATAAACTACAGTCCTTAAAGCCTTGGAGAATGTTTACACTTCTGGAATTATAGCAGAAGTCCTCATGTGAGAGGAACATTGAACAGGCTTTGAAAAGCCTGATGCAGCCAGCATAGGTACTGAGGAGGTTGCCATGATTTGAAGTGGTATGAATAAGATTCAGCAGATCTATGCATCCATATTATTTCCTGGGAAGTCTCAACTAGCTGAAAATGAAAACTTTCCTCTCAGGACATACTTTCAAAACAGCACAGTCCTTCCCCCACCCCCCTTATTGTTGAGCCAAGGTTGGAAAGTCTCTCTGAAGGTCATTTAGTCCACCTCCCATCTACATCAAGCAAGACTGTCTACAGCTGGTTGCCCAGGAACATGTCCAGGTGGGGTTTTGAATACATCCAAGGATGGAGACTCCACATCACCTCTGCTCTGTGCCAGGGCTCAGTCACCCTTATAGTAGGGCGAAATCTACTGAGCTTCAATTTGTGCCTACTGCCTCTTGTCCTGTCACTGGGCAACACTTGGAAGAGCCTGGCTCTGTCTTCTTTACATCCTCTCTTTAGGTGTTTGTACACATTGATGGGCTCTCCCATAATCCTTCTGTTCTTCAAGCTAAACAGTCCCAGCTCCCTCAGAGCCTTTTCTCCTTGAAGAGATGTTGCAGTCCCTTAATCGTGTCAGTGGACCTTCAGTGGACTGTCTCCAGTAGCTCCATATGATTAACTGTGAACCACTGCAAGACTCCCAATTAGACAGCACTTAAATAAGGGCAATGCTGAAGCATAAAGCAGCAAATATGGACCTCAAACTGGACACACATCATCTAGCTTCACAGTTGGAGTCTCACTAAAAGATAGCACAGCCCATAAGAGCAATTCCATTAATTACTGAGCAAAGGCATAACTACCACACATCAGGGAAATTATGGAAAACTTCTCAGAGAGGGCTGAAGCAAAGCCCCAAGACTGCATCTATCTAGCTCTGATGTAATTGGTACTTTGTCACAGCAAAGTAGGGGGGAAAAATAGCTTCTACCTACACTCAAGGAGAGAGATTAGCATTGCCATCATTTCAGAAGCAAATTTATGGCCTGACGACTCCTACTTCATTTTAAAATATAGGCTTTGCAGAGCTCAAGCGCTGCATCTGTATGTTTAGATTCTGGATGGCTTTCTGACAGCGTAGGTGAGACTAATGAGCCACACGATCCAAGAGGAGTTTTCCCCACGTCCCTGTGTAGAAGGTCTTTGGGGAAGGGTGACTGTTCACAGCCCAGGTTCCTCTCCACGCTCCTCTGCTGCCGTCCAAGATTTGCTACGCTTAGAGCTGACTGAAGGAGAGACAGTCAAACAAGGCTTTCTACTGAGAGAGAGGACACATTGCATGGTCCACACCACCCTGAGGAGGCAGCTTACAGTATGGCTTAACACACATCAACACATACAGCTCAAGTCCCACGGGAGACACTCATCACCCAAATCATGCAGTTTGCAATGCCTTTAACTCCCATTTAGGCTCTATTAAAGTTGTGAGCTGAGAAGTGGGCTGCACTGTATTTTTAAAATTCTTGAGTCACCGCTCTCTGCAGTGAGGATGTGTCAGACTCCAGGGCTCTGCTTCATGCACAGAAGCAAGCAGAAACGGTGACTGCTCTCTGAAAAGGAAAAGACTTCTTGGTGGCCAGGTGAAGTAGCCAGGGACGCAGAGAGGAATGAGTACTGCAGCATAGCTGATCAGTTTGAGAGTTACAAACCAAAACATTCTATTCTCTGTTTTGGCATTAGGTTTTTCAGGGCAACACTGAGAAGTTCTACATCTTTTCCACCTCCCAGAATCATCAGAGCACTAAGTTTAACAAACTCCTCGTTAATGCAAATACTGATGTCTCAGGTTTCTCCTGTTCTTTTCCTATTTCTTTCTTACAGCCATGATTCTTTCATACAAGTTTGTTATAAGGCACTAACATTTCATAGCATGTGAAAGGAAGACTTTCTGTGGACTCTTTTCCAAGTCAAATACCTACTGCATGGTGGGATGGACCACATGATACAAAAATATTGTTACAAACCTTTTGTCCAGTCTTTCACGAGAGAATTTAAACCAGCACAGCAAGACTGGACTGAAACAACTCTCTAGAAGTGAAAAGCATCAATATGCCAGCACATACTCATATAAACACGATGAAACACTTCTCTGTCACTGTCAAAGTAAAGACTGTTTCATGACACCTACAAAAGAGAATCCTTAAACAGTTCTTAGACTTTTCCACAACTTGCAGAGGGCAGGTTGTGCAAGAAATTCTGAAATACTGTAACATCTACCAATTTTATTTTCAGTCAAGTCTGCACAGTTTAGCCCAATAAGCTATGAAAAAAGTAGGAGGAACTGCAGAACAGCTTGCTAATTCTGTCCATTAATGCCAAAGTTGCCCTTTCTTCCACAGCAAAGAGCGAGCATGCCTTGCTGTTAGGGAGATGAGGATTGGAAGCTGGAGCTCCTGGGCTCTATTCCAGTCACCAACACAACTTGTGATGGCTTTAGTACATCATGTAACTTTTTGGTGAAAGCTTCCTCAGCAGCAAGACAGACATGTTTTTATTACTTCATAGTCACGTTCAGCAAGCAGTCAGAAGTCCACACCTACAGAAACACTCAGCTAAAATTGTTTTTAATTAAAGTTACCAAAACAGTACCATTCAATTATTGTAGATGCAGGCAGTTAATAGATCATGCTAAAGGACTTACGTCTGGCAATTCCCCCTTCCCTTTCATTTCCCCATTTGCAGGATTCATGCTGACATAGGAACACCCACCTGGTTGTGCAAAGCCATGCACCCTGCTCCACTCAGACAGGGCATTGCAGGTTCTCCTTGAGCCCAGGCTCTGCCCTGCTTTCCCCATAAGGCAGCACACATCCTGATGTTTCCTCAGGAGGACTGTTATAAGACTGTATAGAACACTTTGCAGTTCCATAACACCTGTCAATGGAGCACTTTGAAGCACTATAACAAAAAGGCATCTACAATTAGCTGCTTTTTTCCTTCGTGTGCTGCATGTCTAACCATCTACCACCATTTTTGCTTTTCAGAACACCTCTACTATGAGGGACCAGTCACACTGGGAATCAAAGAAATCCCACAGGTAAGTTCTCCCAAGCAAAAGGGCTTCCTGATGAGGTATAGTCAGAAGAGTACCAGCAGTCACATCAGCATATTCCAAGCTCCCCCAGATTGCACACTGGATCTGATAGTGTTTACATGACTAATCCTTTTTAATATGAAATTAAGTTGGCTTTGCTTAAAGCATTATCCAGAGATAGACAGGTTTTCTTAGGATAGCAGGTCCCCTCTGCCAGCACTAAGTCATGCAGCCATACAGTTCTTTAGTAGGTTCCCCCTCTATTTCTCTTAAAATAGCAAGAAAAGCAGCAGCTCCAGGAGACTCCTGAGAGACCAAGGCTGCAATTCAGCTCACTCCTTAGTGAGCTGAACAATTTGGAGAAGCTCATTCATCCTCACTAGCTATGAAGGTAATTTAGTCAGCTATTGTAATTGTATGTGTTCCACTGAGCATATATGGCATTAGATACAGGCACAGAGGTCTTCTAGGTTGCAATTGGAAGCACAAGTTAATTGGGCCAAGAGCACTTTCTCTGGATTTAGGGAGCCTTAAAATAATAAGATAATTTCTTAGAAAGGTGAGAAAACGGGCAGTACTCTAGGCACTGCTCTGAATTTCCTGGGCATCCATTACAGAAGGTCTTTACAACCAGCCTTCTACACACTGAATTAAGACTCCTTCTAGAAGGTCAACAAATCACATTGCAAAGCAAGATAAGTCTCAAACGTTTAATGCACCAGAATCTCTTACTTGGGCACAACACAAAGCTATATTTGACCAGTAAATAACAAAGAGGTTTTAGCCACATGCATGAAGAGACTAGATTGAAGGGGAGAAGGCAAGATCTGGATCATCAAGGTATCTGTTTGAGAACATGGTGAAGAAAGTATCACAGTCACTACTGCAAATGAACACAGTTCAGGTGGTCAGTCACACACTCCTTAGATTTACTCCCACAGAGAAGCACAGCATGAGCTCTCAGGTCAACAGCAGACATGAAACCTATGTCAGAGCCTCAAAGATGAGGTCTGGGGCCTGCTCAGCACTGTATTGGTCCAGGTGCAAGAAAAGAAGACAGGATCAGAACAGGGATATAGAACAAGGACATGAGCCCCAGAGAGCCTGGCTTGCCAAGGCTGGCAGAGTTGATAACAGGATATCTGGCTTCTGGGCAGATTGAGCCTTCCATAACAGCTACTTTCTCATATGTCTCAGTCCTCCCTTGGTGATAACAGCAGCCACAACCTTTACTTTCCAAGGCTTTCACACAGGGAGCTGAGCCCCCTCATGCAGGCCGTTATCCCACCCTTACCAGCCTGCTTCCCTAATGGCTACACTTAGAGATGCTGTGTTGAGCAAGGCCTTTTGATCTCTCACACCAGAGTGCCCAAGCTCATATCAGTCAGCATCATGTTCCAGGAGCATCTTTATCTAACATACCAAGGCTCTAGACAAACCAAGGCATAGGTCTTTAGACCAAGGGAAATCCCTAGAAACATTCAGAGACCAATAAAACTCCAGCTCTGGGTAGATTAGCTGAATTTGAAGCCAGGAATTCTAAAGACTGTTCACAATCCTCTTTTAATAACAATTTCTACCCATGAGCAAAAAATTGTTCTAAAGGAGAAAAAAAATCTAAATCACTAATGAGCAATGGAAATGAGTTATTATAAACTCCCTTCCATGAATAAAACTAGAAGCTTTTGGGGAAGTAACATGCTTGTGAGAAAGCGAATAGGAAACCTTTTTTGTTAATTAATCAATCAGGCAAATAACACCATCCTTCCATGCCAGCAATAAGAAGTTATCCCAAGCAGCAATCATCTTCTGCTCATTACAAAGAGCAGCCTCATGAAGGGTATTTGCGCAGTTTGCACAGCAATTATAGCAAGGCTGTATTCTCATGAGCATGTTGCCATTGGGCCTCTCTTTAAATTTGGATGTTACACTTAACTTGAGCCTCTCTGTGAGGACACAGGCCATTTATTGCTTTAGAAATCCCGTGGTAAAAGGCAAATGCCAAGAAACCTAGCTCATTCTAACTGTGCCTCTTTCCACTCTAGAACCAGAAGAGTTCTGAGCAGGGCAAGAGATTTCTGTGGTTCAAAGCTAGAAGGCCACTGCTGCCAAGCTCTTCTACCCCAGGTTTTGCTCCCCTCCACGCTCCAGAAAAAACAAATAAATGCTGCAGTACCAGGAATCTAGAGGGAATGAAATCTAGTTCCCCTCTTCCTTAGAAGTTAAATAAGCTTTGTCACCTCCCCTGCCTAGTGCTGTTACTTCTCCAAGTGTATGAAAAGAACAGTTTTGACCAACACAAAAAAGCCATAGTTTCTTTAAGGTTGAGATTTTTTGCACTGCAACAATAAAAGTTCTCCCCAAAACCAGAATTATTAGTAGTTTTAACTCACAATTTGAAATTAAACTACTTCTTGTTTTATTATGTAAGAACTCATTACAGATTGAGTCATCTATATACACACATCCCCCTGGCTCATAAATGTTGTATTGATAACAGCGTACACACTGAACAATAAGATCCAAGGAAGAGAAGTGCCAGACAGAGCACCTCTTCCCCTTCCAGTTACTGACAGCACAGGCCATATTGTGCTTGCTCATAAGAAACATGAAAAGTTACCCAGATCTGAAATGAATTTTTGTGCATCAAAACATTTTGTTCCCCTCACACCATTTTAATTTTGAACTTGTGCTGTCAGCGTTGACATCCTGTTGATATTATTTTGGCAGAAAATATGGGCAAGTCCTTTACCAGTTCTGAAACATTTGGACAGGAAATGTTTTGGGGAAACTGGATGTGAGAAGTGTTGTTCTGTTTCTAGGAAGAGGGCTCCCTCACAGAAACAGCAGTCAAACTACTGATGGGCTAATCTCTTGCTTTGTGTTTGTCTCATACAGGGAGATTATGATATTTCGGCAGAGCTGACTAATGAAGATCACGCCACTGTTGCTTGTGCCTATCTTACTGTGAAAAATTATTTAGAGTATTATTAGCAACAAGCCAATTTCAGGAGAGCTGCAGACTACCAAAGTTAGTCAAAGCCAAGTGAGCTGCTTGCATGCCACAATGATTCTGAAGGAAATAATCCCCATGTGGTGGTTCTGATGCTATTCCTCTTCATAATTCACTATTTTCAAGATGTGACTAGACCCTCTAGTGGTAATTTTCTCTCTAAATGCACTCTGTAGCCTACTTTTTCCTTCCAATATACACAGCTGCAAGCAGAAAGTATCCGATATCAACATCCTCATCTTGGGATGAAAATAGCATGAGGCAGAACAGGCAAGAGCCTAAACTTCTCTTTTTTTCTCAAGTAAATTATGGAGGTATCATTTCTAACAGGCTAAAGATTACTTTCATACATACAACTTACCATGGAGTTACAGCACTCAACATGTTCAATCTTCTCCAAAGCCTGTCTGGAGCTTCCACTAGTACAGATTTTGTTATACTACAGAACAAACACCACATAGTATGAACATGCATTTTTCCCAGTGATCCATGCCCTTTTACCAGATTCATATCACTCAAGTGTTCTAGGGTCTATGTAGAATTTCATTCTTTAATGTCTTTTAAGTGATACGTGAATCGTTCTGCTATGTGTTACGTGCTCTTCTTGCTTCTCAATAAATTCATAACAAAAAAAAAAAACAAAACAAAAAACCCTCTCATTTTCCCTCATGGTTCTAGATCTAGCCAAAGCTTAGAGTGGGGGGAAAAAAAAGAGAAGGAGGAAAGATTGAGGGGAAACAAGTTACATGAGCAGTTTAATATGAAATGTCAGTCATGTTGACAAACATTTCATGCTAGCAGAGGACAAAGTGTTCCTTGCTTTGAGCATGAAGCCCCAGGAGAAGTAAACATTAATTACACTCCCAGGTGCAGCACATCCCCAAACCCTCTCATTCCAGCAGCCTTTGCAGCTAGCATAACTGATGGGTAGGTAGATAACCAAGCACAGGGCAGCACATAAGAATAGGATTTGGGGCTGGTAAGTATGGACACCTGTTGGGGAGACTTGTAGCATAGAGGGAGGGTGAGGAGTAGGGTTGAATTCTAATTTGGAAAGGTATGGGCAGGAATCAGAGCCACAGGAGCATCCTGTAGCTGAACACAGGCTTGTGAAAGGTGGCAGTGAGCATTGAACTGCATGCGTCATCTGGGAAAGGTTCAACATGTACAGCTAAGGGCAGCTGTGGCTCACAGCTGGCCATGCAGGAGCTCTGACACATGGCTTCCATCCTACACACCCACATCTGTGGTTCAAATTCCTAAGCAGCAAGAGCATCTCTGCTGCACAGATGACCAAAACCACAGAGCAGCCAACAACTAGCGGCAAGGGATAGGCCCTCGTTTCCCTCCCATTCTGCAAAATGCTCACCTGCCATCCCAGCAAAGGCAAGCAAGTCTTTGAGGCCCTGACTCACATGAGGGAGGCTTACCATGTTGAACATGGACTGGTAAGTGCCACAAAATGGGATACAGCACGTTTAACATACTGCTGTTTCAGCCCATTTCCATTACACCCTGCTTTGGAAGCAGTTCATCCAAATCCCCGCCATTGCTGTGTTTTAGGTCTTCATAACTAATAAGAATATCACAATAGAGTCACAAGCTCAGTTCTTGTCCTTAGGTCTGTAGCTCTTCAGATTCATCTCTCCCCATGATACATCAGAAGAGCTAGACCTTGAGAAGAAGCTAACAAAACTGCATTCAGCAGCAGCACTCACACAAGTGTCCACTTGCTCAGCTCTGTTACACTGCAACCACACAACAAAAGCATGGATAAAACCCAAATTCCTGCCACCCAGCTTCTCTGTCTGTTATCTGATGAAACGCTCACCAGACGAAAAACAAACCTATGCTAGCTTAAGCACTTCTACTTGAAATCAATCCTATAATAGCCAAGATGCACTTAGCCAAATTTGCCAGGCTCTTTATACCCTGGAGAACAGCCCAATGAGCCCCTAGGCCCATCACAGCAAACAAGCCAGCCTTCTCCTCCACACGGTGTGAGGGCTCCCCTATAGCATCTGCAGCAGAAACTGCTCCAGGAGATCTCAGCTGTCCAGAAAGTGGGAATTTAATCTCCAAAGCATCAGACTTCTGGCCCTCAAGTTCTTCCATCAGTGACTCTTCACCACCCAGCTCACACACAGACATTGCAGAGCTTCACCCAGCACCAGCTGAACAACATTTGGCTTTCTATCACAAAAATTACTTGCTCTTTCTGTCTTGGAATTAAGCTGAAGTACCAAGATTAAATCTTAAACCCATCTTAATCTAAGTCTTAAACCAGAGATACCAGGAGAAAAAGTGTGTTTGCCATACCACAGAGCCATGGAGCTTCATTGTCTAAAAATCACTCTGGGCTTAGCTGCTCTCTAAATTATAAAGAGCTCTGCCCCTGCAACCTAAGAAATGCCTCAGTTTCTTCCTTGCATTCCTCTTCTTAATCAGATACCATTGTGACTGGTCAAGCAATAAAAACAGGGCTCAACTTCCTTGATCCCAGCATAACTAATGAATCCCTTCCTGTCCCAGAAGGTCTGTGGTGTATTCATATCATTACACCAGAATTCAAATATATTTTGCAGATGTCTTTCTGAAATAGCCTAAAAATGCTTAGTAAAGGCACTGTAGCAATATCCAGACTCTGAACACAGCTCAACTGTGCAAAGGCAAGAGCAACATCCTCCAGGGTTTTGCAGCCTGAGCAAGGAAGCAGTTGGCTTTTGCCAAAACAAGGATCTATACATTTCCAGCCAGCCCTCCCTGAAGTCAGGAGGATGAGGCAGAAGTGAATCCCATGGCCAGATTTTGAGCTTTCAGCCCATGTTGGCAAGATCACCTGAACTGGAAGTGTCTTTATGCTGTTACTTCTGTTATGTTGAAATATGCTACTTTTCCCATAAAGACTTATCAGTTACATTTCTCATACAACGTCCCCTACGCTCTCCAGTGTAGCCCTAAAATAATCACAGAGTGGCTCTGTTTTATCCTTTTAATGGTGCTCTACAGCATGAGAAAGGGGAGCAAGGGAAACATCTAAAGGGTGTCCTACTGGGAAGGTAAAGACTGAAGCTCTCTTTATCCTCAGTTCTCATGCAGTGGACCATGATGAAGAATCTGCCTAGAATATAAGCCCCAGTCTCTTCAGTGGATTATTCTAAACTAACCTTCTCAGGACTGACAAAACGCTTGAGTGAGACAGATGGGATTGGGAGTCTGCTCCTCTGGAGCTCTCACAGGGCTCAGGCAAGCAAAATGATCAGCGTGCTACAAATACACTCACTAATCAGTTAAAGCTGAGACAAAACAGATACTACAATGTTTCTACCAAGTCATGCACAGTTTAGTCAGAGATTTCTGTATCTCAGCAAAGTCCAGGACCACCAGACACAAACAGATCCCCCACCATTCTTCATACTAGCACATCCCTAGATCAGCACGAAGATCCACCCACAAACCTAGGTCTCACCCACCCACCTGCATTATGGGGCTGTATACTGCTGAGACCCTTATTTCTGTGCAGCAGTAGGATGGTGCTCCTCCAGAAGGCAGCTCTCAGAATGATGTGGCCCATGCCACAGCCTTCAACCAACCTCAAATAGGAAAGCCTTCCTGGACCTCATGTGGTGGATGCAGTAGTATCCTCACACAGCACAAAAGAGCTGGCAGTGGCAGACATGGAACAAAGTCACACATGGTCCCCTGGGACAGCAAGGGGAAAATCTTGATTGGATTGCTCTGCCAGCCTTCCGAATTGCTCCAGCTTTCCCTCAATACCCATACCTCCAGGGAGACACCCATAAACAAGTACTCTAGCCTAGCTCTGGCTATATAATGTAGAGTCATTTAAAAGTAAGAATTGTAGAAAAGTATTATGAAGCAATACTCTGCAGACCAGCACCCACAGGATTAGCTTCCCACTGTCTGCTCTCTTCTCTTGCTGCTCAGCCTGGCCTCTCCTTCAAGGCAAGGACATTCTGTGGTTCTTCAGCACTGCCCTGACCCAGCAAGGAGAGCTGCAGTATAGTGGGTACATTTAAGCCCAGCTCCCCGCTTGCCTCTCTAATATAAGCACATTAGGAGCTAGCCTTGAACTGAACTTCAGCTCAAGCACAGTGGCATCTACAGCAATCTCCCCCCAGAGTATGAAGAAAAGAAGAACAATACAGAAGGGACAAAATGGTGAGGTTTTTTTCCTCATGGAAAGTCAGAAATAAAGCTGCCTTTGTCCTGTTCTTAACATATACAGTAAAACACAAGACGTTTGCACAGAACATCCTGTTCCTGAGGCCTTAAATCTTTCTCCTCCCTCTGCCTCTCTCCATGACACTAGTGTGTTCCTTGCCCTTCTCCTCCCAGAAGCTCTTTAAGTATTTCACCAGTGAGACTGAGCAGGAACACCACGTTCACCAAGTGAGCCCACCCCACTAGACACCAACCATGGAGCCTGCAAGGATCAGAGAGGAGCAATTTATTTCACGTGGGAGACTAATTGCCAAGAGGGATTCAAGCATCTCTGGCTGGGGGAGAAGGGCAACCCTGAATAAAGAGATCAGACAGAGAAGAGGCTCCTGAAGGGCCAAGCCGGAGGCTCAAGGTGATTTCTGTCAGTGGGGTACTTTGATGATAAGGGTTGCAGAGCTACTCAGCCTGCTAGACATGAGCCTGCAAGATGGTAAAGCATTCCCTGTTGGCCCTGTGATAATGCCTGCACTATCTAGTTATACAATAAGCCTTAGGTTGTTTTCCTAAACCAGGCAGCAGCTGGCAAAGCTAAAACAAGCTACTGTTGTCCCAAACTGCAGTAAAGCAGCCTCGCACATACCTTCCTTCTCCCTACTGATACTTTCCTTCTTCCACTCAGCTGCACAGAGGATACTGATGCCATCAATGCAAGAGCAGGGCACTCACAGACTGAGCAGGGAACAACTTAAAAGAGGTTCAAATTCCAACTGCTTTGATCAGGAGAGTGGCTCCGCCAGAGCCAAAATAAATGTTTGCCGATAATCTTGTGCCCTCTGTTTGCTTGTGTGGCTCCCATTTTATTAGCTTTCCTATGGTAAATTTTACAGCTGGGGTTAGCAGATTGATAAAATGCACAGATTATTCTTCACTGTTACCGATTTGCTTCTCCCCAGTTTAAT